ATTCAAAGTAATTATTAAATTTTTATTTAATTATTAAGTATAAAAAATTTTATATAAATTACTCATAAAGTAAATTAGCAAATAGTTAAAATCTGTAATTATACTGTAGAATTAAAAAATATAGTAAAAACTTTTAAATTCCATTAACTGCAGATTTTGTGCTCCAAGTGTAAACAGTTTTTATTGTTGAATATTATATATATAACATTGTTTAATTATAAATTTATTCATTAAATATTTAAATTTTTCTCATTGCAGAAGCTGCCAAAATAATGTGGTTTGAAAAAGCAGAAATATGGTTATGGTTTTTAGAAAAAAATGTGATTTATCCTCTTGTATTTCTCAGTGCCTTGACCACAGATTCTCCAAAAATTGTAAACAGCTTTGGTCTGTTGTAAGTTTTTAAATAACTTTTTTATTTTGTAAGTGGAATATTCTTAACATTATTATTTTTATTTACTAAGTTGAAATCAAGTTTAAAAAGTAACACCATAAAAATTATTTATTTAAAGCAAAAATTATAACTAAATTTTTATTTGAATACATATCCTTAATTAAAAGTTTCATATTAAATGTTTAAGCTGGTGAATATAAAATCTAAAATTCCTAAAATCTTTATAATAAAATTCTATTTTATTTAAGAGTCATCACACAATATTTTTAAATATTCATTTTATTAAATAAGAAAAATGTTATTTATTTTTCAGAGGAGGTTGTTTAGTGGTGGTAATTTGTAGTTTGAAGTGCCTGCGCAGTGCCTTCAATGATCCTTCTCATCATTTTCTGGTGCTCATTTTTACTGTTCTTTTTTTCAAATATGATTATTCTGGACCTCCTGAACCATTTCTCATCAACTTTTTTGTTATGACTATTTTATTTAATAAAGTAAGTACATTATTTTATTATAAGTATTAACAAAAAATAAATAATTCTTCAAACAGTAAAATGTTTTACATACCAGTTACACACAAAACAAAAATCCTTCATTATTTCTTTAAAAAAAATAATAATTTACTTATGTATACAAATGAGTATAGTATAAGCATACATAAAAATATAATCTTATATTGTCTTATTTTCAATAAAGCATGGGATTTCATTACATTGTAAGTGTTTATCTTTTACAATGTACTGTTACTTTTCAGTATCAATGATTAGTATTTTATCTGTGCTAATTTGTTTGAGATTTGCCATCTTAGTATTAGTTGCATTACTAATTTTTAAAGTAGTTCATTTGGCACAACGGTTTCTACTATGGTTATGTGCATATGCAAATGATTTTGGTTTGTGCTACATTAAGTGCAATATTAATCTCTCTAATTTTAAAAGTGCACCTATAAGAAACTATAAAATTATTATATAGTCTTTATTAAATCTATTTACTTCTGTAGTAATTACAAATTTTCTGTTAGTCACAGTTTAATACAAAGAAGACTCTATAACTTTTTAACTTTAGTGTTATTATAAAGTAATTAATTATAACTCATATAAATAATTTATATTTATTTTTTATTCAGAAAGCTCGACTTCGTTCAGATATTATTATTTGTGTACTCATCTCCATTCTAGTATTTGCTGTGCATGTTAGTACAGTATTTATTGCTTTACAAGTAAGTAATATTATGATTTTATTTAATAATTAATAATTATTACTATTATTAACTTGCATGTTTTTAGACATGCTTATGTTGATAGCATTAGAGACTGATAACAATAGCCTTTATTACAATTTGAGAATTCTATTGTAGGTATCATTTTAGAAAATATATTATCTTTGTATATAATTTTTATTTTACTTCATGCATTACTTTGCAGCTAAGGTTTAATAATATTTCTCTTCTAGATTTTTTATAACAAATTTATATTTATTATGCAAGGTCCAAAATATTAAAGACACAAATCTTATATCAGAGTTCATAAAACTTATGGAACCTTTTTAAACTATAAATGCCAGTACTGGACTTTCTGACTATAAAATAAATGAATATACAAAATAATTAGTATATAACTCAAATGTTTCAAATTTTGATTTAGTATTTACAACAATAAAATTGGCTATTAATACAATTAACAAAATTATAATTATTTAAAATCTCAAACAATTAACCTGATTAGGGAAAAGAATCTAGCAGGAAAAAAACCCTTAATCAGTACCAATCAAATCAATTACAATTCAACAGCTCTATACTGACTAATAGAAGTGAAGGTTACTGCCAGTTTGACAATGGTTTTTTTATACATGTCTGATTTACATACTAAACATGCTGACAAAAAATAAAATTTTGCTTAACTGTGTCTTTACCAGTATCTGGTTACAAAATATAAGTAGAATATTATTTATTATTTTAGTCACATTTAAATCCTAAATTAGTGGGATGTAATTCTATTTATTATTAAAGTCTTATGTAAATGAAGCTGTAGCTGGGAAGAATTGGAATAGTTTACAATACATGTTTGTCTTTTTGCAACCATCCTAACCTTAAATACCTTAAATACTTTGTCATAATCTTCACAAAAGCATGGCTTCTTTGGTGGGAAAGAATTCCATTCTATAACATTAATAAAAATGTCTCTTGCCAGGCCCCACACTAACACAATTTGGTGGCAGATTACTGGACATACCAAAGAAGTGAAGTACTACATTAGTGAGATTTTACTGTATAAATAAAAAATTTTTTCTTCTTACTTCACAATTAAAGAAAAGCAACATTACTGAAAAAACTTTGAGGTTTAATATACCACTATAAATTACTAAATGTATATTCAGTCTGTTAATTCTAAAAAAATTTCTTATAGNCTATTTTATTTAAGAGTCATCACACAATATTTTTAAATATTCATTTTATTAAATAAGAAAAATGTTATTTATTTTTCAGAGGAGGTTGTTTAGTGGTGGTAATTTGTAGTTTGAAGTGCCTGCGCAGTGCCTTCAATGATCCTTCTCATCATTTTCTGGTGCTCATTTTTACTGTTCTTTTTTTCAAATATGATTATTCTGGACCTCCTGAACCATTTCTCATCAACTTTTTTGTTATGACTATTTTATTTAATAAAGTAAGTACATTATTTTATTATAAGTATTAACAAAAAATAAATAATTCTTCAAACAGTAAAATGTTTTACATACCAGTTACACACAAAACAAAAATCCTTCATTATTTCTTTAAAAAAAATAATAATTTACTTATGTGTACAAATGAGTATAGTATAAGCATACATAAAAATATAATATGCATTATAGATTTCAATTTTAATCCCTTTATTATATTAAAAAATACTATAATTTAGTTTCATTCATTTAATTAAATTTTTTTCTAATTACAGTTAACAAGTTCTGCCAAAGAATTTACTAATTTGTTGTCTATTTTAGTTATTCTGTTCAATTGGAAATTTCATTTTTTTTATTTAGTGTTAATATTAATAATATATTAACTATTAAAATTATAATTACATCTTAATAATTAAAATTTTTACAGAGTTAAAAAAGTACTCTTGCTTTAATAAATTGTTTTTTAAAATTCAACCTCAAATAAGGATTACATCAAAATTCCAAGTATAAAACTGTAAATTCAGAAATTAAAGTTTAATTTGTTGTTTGATATTTTTTTTATCAAATTGACAAAACATTTCTAAGGCACTAGTTGATCCATAAGTATTATGGGCCCTTGGGATTCACAGACCACAGATTAAGAATTAATGTTGTTTATTTGTACATTATTTAAATGTACAAATGAATGATAAAGTGCTAAAAATATTAGTTAATAACAAATAAATTTTGATTTTTGAATTTATAGTTTTATATGTTATATTATGATGCTAAGTTTTATAATTTTATTCCAAAATTACTTTCATACAATTATCATAATTGTATGAAGTATCTATTGTGTATCTTTCAAACATCAAGCACTCTGATTAGACATATTTAATTTACATTAACTAATGCAAATTCATCATGTTTATTTGTATTTAAAATCTTCACTTGATAAACTTGAATATTATTTTTGATATAAACATTTAGAACAATTGACAGGATTTACATATTCAATATGTAAAACTTATTTCATGATAAATTACAAATACATCCAAACAAAAATGATTATGTATTTTTAAAAACTAGATAATCTGATAAAAATAATTCTGATTATGATATGTAATTTTATTTTACATTTTATGCAGAATAAAAAGTTATAAAATTTTAAACAGCATTATCAAATCATCATAGAACAATGTCATTGTTAACATTTCTCTTGATTGAATATTTTACTTACAAATCTAACATGAGAACTTAAAATTCAAGTTTAAGGATCACATTTTATCACTATCACTTTTTATCATAAGCTAACAAGTTTTCTGTCTTTTATTTTTATGTTTATACTACTGTACTATTATGTGTTTCATAATATGCTTTATTAATTATTTTCTTTTCAGTTTTATGAATTCCTTCTCAAGGTACGTTTTATTATTACATATATTGCACCCTGGCAAATAACATGGGGTTCTGCCTTTCATGCATTTGCTCAGCCATTTAGTGTGCCTCGTATCCTTTATTATATAATAAACAGTAGAATAAATTTATACACAATACTCTTTACATTTTTTTATTTTTTATTGTACATTGATTTTACAGGGGAATTATATTCCATTGTTTTATTAGTTTAATAAGCAAATTTTTTAATAATAAAGTGTTCTATTAGGATATTATTAATTAGTTTTTTTTATCTATTAAGAATGAAGAAATTCAATAACTGTCAAAACTTTTACAGGGATCTACATTTTGAAAATTGTTTTTACAACTTTTCACTATTAAAATTTTTTTTTCAAATATGTACTAAATGTTAAAAACAATGATAGTTCAAAGTTGATAAATATGATGGATGAACAATGGTCTCCAATTTTTGTTTTCTTTAATTTTTCTATTCATATTTTTGTTATATCTACTTCTGAAGAAAATGACTTCTGTGAATGTTTAATGTTTTCCAACAAAATTTTCTTGCTTATCTTGAAGTTCTGGTGTTTATCAGAATTTATGGTTTCCTCTTGTTTCAGAAAGATGTGATGAATTATAGTGCTTTTTGAAGACCACTAACAGAATGATTTAAAATCTATAAGTTGTCTAAAGTTATGGAATGTACAAACTAAAATTTATAAAAGTAATACTATAAACAAAACTAATAATAAACAATATAATTAATTTCAAAATATATAAGAGCACTTTTACATTTATATTTACTTATTATTCAGAGCTTTTCAGTTTGTTTAAATTGAATAAAGAATATAATGGTTGAAAAGAACACTGTTTAAATTTTAAGCAATACTATGAAGATTACATAAATTTTTCTGTAATAGTAATAAAAATGCAAAAACTGATATTATTTTAAATTTAAATTAAATATAGATAGATGGAGTTACAAAATATTAAGATTTTGTAAAGAATTTTTTAAAGATTGAAAAAGGAAAGATTATCAGTTTGAGGTATATAATGATAATAGTACATTATTTAAATTGAATGAGAATTTTATCGATGTAGAAAAAATTATGACTATAAGTATAGATAGAATAAGATAAAATGGATTTTCTACATGTTTTATAAATTCCACAGAATCCCAAAGCATTTGGGAACTATTATTTTAAACTAACATTGTCAGTTAGTCTGCACATCTTTTTGTGTTCTATTAATCTTGTTCTTATCACATGTATTGTAGCAATAATATAAACATACTTTTTGTTACCATAATAATAATTGGTAAAATCCTAATAATTCCAAAATTGTATTACTACTCTTGATTTTGTTTCTTCTTAATGTTCATGAAGAAGCTGCTATCAGTTGGACAAATAAAGATCTGATAGAGTAATTTATAAGATTATGTTTCTTGAAATAAAAAGCAACTTTTAGAGAATTTTAAATTTGTTCTACTAATTCTTTTGACTGTTACATTTATCAAAGCAGATCAGAATATTCTGCCACACTTTTCCTGATACTCTGGTTTATTCATTTTCAAAATCATTTTACAAAAAATTGTTAACTAGGACCAATGAATCAGGCTTATATTCACAGCAATAACAATAAGCCTGAATCATTGATTCTAGTTAACTTTTTTCTTTTTTTGATAAAATTAGTAATGCAGGCAAGAAGCTCTGTAATAAATATATTAATTTATATTGATTGAAATTATTTGAGTCGTTATTGAAGCATTATTAATATTTTGAAGTATTTCTACTTAATTATTACCAATTATGTATTTATATGAAAATACATAATTGCCATCAAAATACCGTCATTCTCATATAAGACAACCTCACATATAGAACATCAAAATACCGTATTTATTCTCATATAAGACAACCTCACATATAGAACAAGGTGTGACTTTAAAGATCAAAATAAAGAAAATTAGATTTATTAACACAATTCTAATTTTATTTCATTTAATTACAAGCAAAATATCAAATGAATGTAAATGCACATATTGTCCCACAAAAATTACTGGCATTTTAAACTTTAAGGAAAAAGCTTGTAAAATCGACAACATGTAAAGCTGGACAATCAGGAACCTTTTCTTGTCAATTCTTAACAATCTAATCCACTCTCTGTTGATTACACTTATGAACTTCTCTGAATTCTGATTTTCAAATAATCATCTGTTTTCACATGGGAATGGATTAAAACTTATATTGGGCTCTCGTGTGATTTTGGAATTTCGATTTGGAATTCAATTCAAAAGCTTTGCTTTTCCTATTGCTATTCATCTTTACTCCTGACAATATACAAGAACAATTCAAACAACCCAGATAAAATTATTGTTTTTAAATACAAGAGAGTAAACGTCTAGTAAAAAATGTGAATACACGGTTCACAAAAATTATTTGCAAAAACGTGAAGAATCTTTCGCTCATGACCTAGGAATTTGAAGCTGTGATAAGTGAATAAAAACCTTGTCTTATATGTGAGTAAATATATGTGATTAAATTTCAAAAATTTGTAGTTCACAACAATATTAATGCATTTAAACTCATAAAAATTGCATTTTTAACTTATATAAAAAAATCAAAATGATGACTGCACTTTGCATAGTTCCAACTTTAAAACAAAAACAATGCTATTTTATATGCAACAGTTTTTATCTCTTATTAGGATTTTTTGATTGCTTATATATCATTTTTATATTTTTGCAAGCAGCAAATGGCAAAAAATAATTAAAACATATAATTTTATATAATGCTTACATCATTTAGATTAAAATTTTAATGAAATTTTTTGTATTATAATGAAATTTTGAAATAATTAATTTTCAAATAAGTGATTTGTAATATCAAGCATAATATATATACATATTTAAAAAATATAAGAAACTATAAACATCTTTATTATGTCCTTTCACACACCTCAGGAACAAAACTGTCTTTTTCTTGGTAAAGTTGTAATGAAGATGTTTATAGTTTTTTCTTGTTTTAAATATTAATGCTGTCCTGGCCAACATGTTAATTAATAATATAATCAGTATAACACTGGTTATTTGAATCCCAATTATCTGAATTATCAGTTGATTTTATCACTGCAGCCAAAAATGTGAGCTTACTCTTTGATATATGCTCCTTCTATTCACTGAGTCAGTCTCATGAGTATTATTCCTGTCCATTCCAATCTGTTCTGTTGTTATTGTCATATATCAGTGTTTAGTTCTGTTCTGTTTGATTTCAAAAATATATTCTATTTTTTTTTTTATATACTTTTGTATAAATACAAAGTTGTAGCAATTTATGTGTAGTTTATAACAAAATTATTTTTAACCTAACTTACATAGTCCAAAAATTATTGAGATTTTGATTGTCAGACAGAATTGGGACACAAAACTAAGCTATTTAGATCTAACTACAACAGCTGAAATAAAGTTAATAACATAAAATTAATTAAAGAATTTTAGGAATAAGAAGAATAAAAATGTAATACTAGAATTAATTACGTAGTAATAATAATGATTAACTGTTTATATAAGTATTATATGATAAAACATAAAAGTTTAATAGTACAGTATGACCTCGATTATCTGGACTAATTGGGGATGAAAATAGTCTGGATAAGGAAAAATCCGTATAATCGAAAAAATAATAATTGACAGTGAAAGACATGTACAGTACATACAGTATGAATAATTTTTATTTGTCTAGATTTACATATACTGTAGCTTCAATATTAAATTATTTTTATTAAGAAATTCAATTATTGTTTAACTTCATAATTTTTTCCTTTGTTTTTTTATATCTGAGATCGTTGATGTTCCAACACCATATTTATTAGATAATGATCCAGACTCACCATATTTCAAACCATTGATTATATCCAATTTATCTTTAATGATAATACAACACGTTTTCTTTTCAATGACATATCGGTAGTAATAAAAATAAATACCGTATTTAAATCATGATCAAATTTTCAAGAAACAAACGTTCATATTGAATTTGGACTACTACTTGACCAGCACTAACAGACTGCCTATTGTTTAAAGGCCCTCTGGTGTCACAAGAAGACGAATTTTATAAAATAAAAAGCAGTTGAAACTGTCGAATTTTTATTCATAAAAATGCAAACTATTTATTGTTATATGACAAGTAAAATTTTTTCGTTGCATTCACGGGTTTAAGTAATGCATAAACCTTCGAGGCGGTAGCTTATGTCGCCCATGCCTTACGCTGCCCTTGGCCATAGAAATGATGCAATTTCAATATAAATTATTTATAAATATGTGTGTCAAGTTATATTTTTATTACAAAAAAAATGTATTAAAGAGTTTACGACCACTGTGCCGGGTGAGACGTTGTTGGAACAAAAAAAGTTAAGCCTATGTGTTCCATCATGTACATAAACAGTATCACAATTCGCCAAGTGCAAATCAGCAAATTCAAAAAATTTTTGTTTATTTTGAACAATCCGGATAATCAAGGTTCTACTGTATATTAAAAATTTATTTTAGTCATCAAAAACTGGGTTCAGATTAAGAGACACATGCACAAATAACTTTTACTGCAGAAAATCAAGTTGTAAAATTGGTTGGTTGTAAAATTAATATGTTGGAATAAAGATTATTTGTACAAGTGTTTCATTTAAAAATTTATTTCTTTAACTCAATTGATCAGATTCAGCAATGTTATTTATTCAAGCAACTATATCTTCCATATTATCAACTCCATTGAGTCCTGTATTGGGTAGTGCAATTTTTTGTACATCATATGTTCGACCTATTAAATTTTGGGAACGAGATTATAAGTATGTATATATTTTAAATATTTTTTCTTATCAGTAATTTATCTCATACTTGCTTATTTAAAATGCCAAAATTTATTTATCATCAGTGATGTATTATGATTTTTGATCTATTTACTTTGTTATACTGTGTGTAACTTAATTATATTCATTTACAATTTGTGTAGAATATCAATTTTTACAGTTTGCTGTTCATTTAGTGATATGAGGCAAATTTGGAAAGTAAAGATACTAGGTCATTTGAAATCCAAGTAGAATTATTTTTTACAGTTTGCTGCACTGCCATGTCTGTTAGGGTTTGTCATGTGATAGAAGTCATTTGTCTTTAATTGCATCATCATTATACTTGCAGCATGTGTCTAAAATGGCCATGTCAATTTGTAATCTCACCAAATGCAAGATTTATTCAATTCCTTTGCACAACAAGAGAAACTGCCACTGAAATTCATTGGCATCTTTTTTCTGTTTATTGCTAAGAAATTATGAACATACAAAACATAACAAAATTTTGTCCTACTGCAAGATAATGCCTGTCTTCACACTTCTCATCTCACACAACAGTTGTTGCAGACATTCAAATGGGAAGTTTTTGAACATCATTGAACAGCCTAGATTTTACACCAAGTGATTATCATTTGTTTCTGAAGTTGAAGGAACATCTCTCTGGAAAGAAGTTTGATAACATCAAGGTTCAAGATGCAGTGATGACATGGTTACTAAGAGTAGGTGGGAGATTTCTTTGATGTCTGCATCAAAAAAGTCATTTCCATGCTCATAAAATGTATTGAGGTTCATGGTAACTATGTTGATAAATAAATACACATATAATCTAAAAGTATTATAAGTCAGTCTAAAATTAAAATACTTTAGAAGTATTTTCTGAACTTTGTATCCTTTATTTACAAACATGCCTCATGTATTATTATTTTTATGTATTCATTTATATTTTTAACTCTTATTTAGTTTTATATTAATTTTTAAAAAAACATTTTAAAAGTAAAGGTTATATAATATAAAGTAATTTTATCATCATGCATGAGTTTGATGATAATCTAATGAATGTGTGAAGATGTTGATCTGTCTTTATTGAAACTATTTTGAGTTATTAATAATTTTGGTTTATGTTTTGTATTTAACTTCAGAAGATAGTTTATTGTTTTTATTCATTCATTTCTTGTATGTTACTCTTAAATCAAATTTAATTAATATAGTTGTTAATCATATTCTCAAAGTTGTAGTTGACTTACATGTTGAGTTGTGGTATATGTTTAAATTTTTAACATGATGAATTTATTGGATTAAAAAGTTATTTTCATTTTTATAATTATCTATGTTTTTCCTTATTTTTCTAATGACCTAAATAGAATTTTCAGATATTTACATTACAGATCATTTATATGATGATTGATTCTATATATGCATTTTTTAATTTACAGCACTAAAAGAGTGGATCATTCGAATACTCGATTATCATCTCAGTTAGAATGTAATCCAGGTAAGTTAATGATAAAGTACCTGTTTTAATCATATTATTTATTTTTAACATTAAAATGTATAATAAATCTTCAATAAAATAGTATATAACACAAGTAATTTTCAAAATTTCACATATTGATATATAGAGAGTAATAATATTTATATACAGTATTTAACAAAACCCTGTTTTATTTCTTAATCAGTAAAAATTGTAAATTTCTATAAGCAAATGAATGATTCCTCTTAATAAGTTCAAAAAAAATTATTTGATGAAGTCAATATATTACTTAAATATTTTTATGAAATTTGTTTCTATCTACAGATACAGTTAAACACCAAGTCTGTGTTAAAGATTAAAAGAAATAACAGTACTAAAAACATTTACGTTTATAACAAAAATGCAAACTGTTTCATAATTATAGAAAAATTTTAGGATTGTACATAGAAATTTTTAAATTTTTTGAAAATTTTAATAATATTTTTCAGAAAACATCTGATTTAATCAAAATCTATTATATACATTTCTCAGCAAGAAATGTAGATCTATTGTTTCATTGTGTTTTTGTTATATATGTTATATCATTCCATCAGCTTGAAACAATTGGCATTGTAACTCATTAGATTGTATTACCTAGTTCTCAATTATCCAGTGACCAATAATATTTTTGAGCCTTGTGAGGCACACAGGCTATAATTCCATTTGGCCTGTGTGCCTCAACAGTGAGATCAAATGAATTAACCCCTTCATTCCCGATCATTAATTAAATTGATATAAGATTAATATTAAAATACATTAAAAATACTTAAAACTGGAAAAAAACGAAAGAAATGCGTTAATTTTGAAGAAAAAGCTTCAAATTTTATTTTCCTTTGTTTCGCTTTTCTGTGAAATTTAACACCAATGAGTCATAGTTTACACATCTGGGTGACCTTGAACACAGCTGGAGTTTGATTTCCCGGGACATTCCCATGTACGCCACGGGAGGTCAAGGGTTTAAAGTAGGGTGAATATGAGCAACACGGAAATTTTTAAATATTTTTAAAAAATTAAAAATTTTATTGCGATTTTCGACCCCCCCTAATTAATTAATTTTATATTTAAAAAAATATATTAATTAAAAAAATTAAAAAACCATTGGAGGTCGTTTTTGACATCAGAAACTAACTTTAAATAACTTTACCGAATGAAAATCCGTGCGCTACAACTTAGGAACCATGAAATAAATTTGATAAAAAACTCCCATTAAAACGGAATGGAGTTACATAGATGATCGGCATGACTGTTGTCAGGAAAAGTATGATGTATACAGGGACAAGACACTAATAATTTGAGATTCAGAACATATTTAAAATTTATTTAAGTTAAAATATATGATTAAAAAATTGCAGCCTGGCATTGTGATGATGTCACAATAAATTTTTGTTCATTAATTGATAAATTATTTTTTCTACTTAATTATCATTTTAAAAGCAAGCATAATCTTTCTACATATAAGATTTGTGAGCTATTTATGAGTTCAGTCAGATTTATAAATGTACTGTAAATTCATGCATCTAAATTGACCAAGATTTTCAGTTTAAAATTCTGATTTAGACTTATATCTTCTATATAGATGGGCCTCCTGAACTTACAGTAGGCATACCAGTAAGCTAGAATTGTAATGTGAATACAGTAAGACCTTTACGCTTCCTCTATTAACACTGATTCGATATAACACTGTCTGCTCGAAGCCTTAGAAAAAGGTCAAAATTACGTTGATTCAAATTATCGCAAAATTTCATTGATTCATATATAACGGGTGGCCAACCTGCGGCTCGCAAGCCGCATGTGGCTCTTTGAATGATTATTTGTGGCTCTCGATAAATGTACCCGAGTTCCCTTTTCATTTTTGTGTTATTATATTTAAAAAAATTATTATTGTTCCATATGTGTTTCAAAATGTCTTTTAAATTACTAACAACAAATATGAAAGATTAAGTGCAACGCTGTAACAAATTTCATTTCCGTCCAAGTTAAGAATGATATGACTCATGTAAAACTGTGCGAACGAACATAAACAGTGGCGTAATCGTCCGTTATCGACCGACTCCAGACCGATTTTGAATTTGTNNNNTGACAAGGCTGGGGACCTAAAAAACATTCCAAAAATTCAAAAAAAAAATTTTTTTTCAAAAATGGCCTTAAGGACCACGTTTTTCGTAAGGCTATGTAGGCTTGACGTATATATACATCAATGGAGACTAAGGAGTTAATAGTATTCATGACCATATAGTGTAATGAAAATTGTGATCCTAATATAGATAGACATGATGCTTCAGTATTGAACTGCAAAATAATTCTGGATAATGTTATCCAGTGGTTTGAATAATGCATAAGAATTGAAAAAGATGACATAATAGATGGCACAAGCACATTCATCTACAGCAGTGTTTTTCAACCTTTTTCATTGAGTGGCACCCCTGATTGAAAAATAAAAAATCGTGACACCCTTGACCAGCAGCAGATCTGAATAGGGGACTAATGGGCCAGATAAATTTTTTGCGAAAACGAATATTACGCGCAACGCTGGGGTGGGGTCTGGGGAGGGAGTCCCTCCCCAGGAAGAAAACTTTTAAAAATTGACAATTTGAAGTAGCATTTTAATGCAAAAAGCAGCGTTTCTACATGTTCAAAATCAAAATTTAAGCCCATCGAATTTTGTCAAAATAGCTACATGTAAAATAATAGTCTCTCTATTGTTTCTTAAATTTAGTTTTATTATCAAATATATCATCATTTTATATTATTATTTTATTGATAAACAATTCTTGTTAAGTTTTTTATACTATTTTGATGCATATATAAAATAAATATTTCATTACTTTTTTCTTCTCTTTTTCATATCAATTTAAAAAATTTAAATTACAAAAATGATAATAAATTGTTTATTTGTCATCATTACTTTTGAATACTATGAAAGTACTATAATATGCATCTACATTGTGCATGCTTTTCAAAGTGCAATGCAACGCTTTTTAAAGTATATACAAGACACAAGTGTCCATGTCGTTCTTCTCTGCTGGTTGGCCTGGTACTGAGATTGGGAATGTGAAGGCCAAGTAATGTGGTTTGGGCGAACTCGTGACAAGTCATGCATACACGTAGCGTTGAACATTACATTAACATGCAATTAGTCATCGTTTCTTTGCTTACTAGATATCTCGTAGCAAAATAGAACTGACAATGAGTTATCTTGAACTACACTTAAGTAAATTTCCAAGAAAATGACTAAAGGCCCTAAACTTTGTGACACCCCAATTGTGGCGTCGTGGCACCCCAGTTGAAAAACACTGATCTACAGCATGTCTCTGCCAATGGTGATAGCAATGGTTATTTTCTGTGGAGAATTTATATATTTACAGAATACCTATGAACACTGGAACAAGACATTAAGCGTGTTTATCATTGTTGATATAAGTGACTTACCTAATATCTACTTTTGATTTCAGTCAAATCAAGTACTTTACCTAAACACAGATCTATGAGTATTCCAGATATTTGTGATAATAAATGGGTAGGAAAATAGTTCAAGATAAACTTGCTGTATATGAAGCGTGCAATGCCATACCATAATGTTGTAAATGCCAACAAACAAACTTTTTCAGGAGAGATAAAAAACTACCTTCTTCTCAGTACTGAAACAAATTATTAAACACATTTAACTAAACTTTTAATTTCCAGTAACAAAAATTTTTAATGCAAAAATTTCTGATAAAACAAAAGGTTGCTTCAGATCATCAATGATATTCCAAAATTGGAATGAAAAATGTTTGTCAGAAATTTTTACATTAAAAATTTATCTGTTTAAAAGTTAACTTCTTTGTTGATGGAAAGAAAGGCTAATAAGAATCTACAAATTGATGTATTATATATTTTTACAAACAAATTTTTTGAGATATATATTTCATTCATTTTTATAGATTACAAATACATTACACTGTTATTCAGTGTATTATTTTCAAGATAATATACAGAAATTGATTATAGAATTAATAATTTTATAAGAAATCTTTTCACAAAAGAAAACATCTGATTTAATCAAAATCTATTATATACATTTCTCAGCAAGAAATGTAGATCTATTGTTTCATTGTGTTTTTGTTATATATGTTATATCATTCCATCAGCTTGAAACAATTGGCATTGTAACTCATTAGATTGTATTACCTAGTTCTCAATTATCCAGTGACCAATAATATTTTTGAGCCTTGTGAGGCACACAGGCTATAATTCCATTTGGCCTGTGTGCCTCAACAGTGAGATCAAATGAATTAATAGTATTCATGACCATATAGTGTAATGAAAATTGTGATCCTAATATAGATAGACATGATGCTTCAGTATTGAACTGCAAAATAATTCTGGATAATGTTATCCAGTGGTTTGAATAATGCATAAGAATTGAAAAAGATGACATAATAGATGGCACAAGCACATTCATCTACAGCAGTGTTTTTCAACCTTTTTCATTGAGTGGCACCCCTGATTGAAAAATAAAAAATCGTGACACCCTTGACCAGCAGCAGATCTGAATAGGGGACTAATGGGCCAGATAAATTTTTTGCGAAAACGAATATTACGCGCAACGCTGGGGTGGGGTCTGGGGAGGGAGTCCCTCCCCAGGAAGAAAACTTTTAAAAATTGACAATTTGAAGTAGCATTTTAATGCAAAAAGCAGCGTTTCTACATGTTCAAAATCAAAATTTAAGCCCATCGAATTTTGTCAAAATAGCTACATGTAAAATAATAGTCTCTCTATTGTTTCTTAAATTTAGTTTTATTATCAAATATATCATCATTTTATATTATTATTTTATTGATAAACAATTNTATTTAAATTTATTTTAAAGATTCTATTAGTTGTTAGAATAGTTCCAATAGTTCTATATTTTATATGATATGTAACATATTATATCAGATTTAAATGCCTTGCTCAAATAGATAACAAATGCTGACAGCTTTTAAATACAAATCTTATTTCCAAACAGAATCAATAATTTAAAAACATCCAAATATTATTTTTTCTAATGAATAAAACATATAGTACAATATAATAAGAAAGCACCATACTATTGCATTGAATTAGCTATCTGTAATATTGAACTAATTAATTGTTTGTAATGAATACACTTGCATCATATTGACAAAATATAATATATAGTATAACTTGTTTTATATTGCTATGTACAATTTAATATATTAGAAATTTGAATATTTTGTTTCGATTAATTATAAAAATTAAAAAATAAAGTAAAAAATAACTTTATTTGTTTAATAGGTGCAGATGACAACAATTTGAATTCAATTTTTTACGAACATCTAACTCGTTCACTTCAGCATTCTTTATATGGTGATTTAGCATTAGGAAGATGGGGTAATGTTTCACAAGGAGATTGTTTTGTTCTTGCTTCTGATAACTTGAACTGTTTAGTACATATAATTGAATTAGGGAATGGAATGGTAACCTTTCAAGTTAGAGGACTGGAATTTAGAGGTAATTTCCTATTAAATAAATATATTGCAATGAAGTACATAATGCAAACAATTGCATTATGTACTTCATTAAAATTTAAATGATGAAAGATGTAAATCATAATTACATTAAATTTTAGTTTTAAATTATACATATACAAATTATGCATAATTAAGTTTATGAAAATTTCATTTTGTATTAAATGTTTTCTTACTAATATCAACTGATGTTGATTGAGATGAATATTTAAAAATATAATAAAAATGGATTTATCATATTTATAATGAATGATATATGATAATTAGAGTTTCATTATTTACAAAAGTAATTCTTTTAAGTTTTAATTAATATTGTTTTGAGATAATGAATACTTTCTCTTATTTACATTTTCAAAATGATCAAGTTACTTCCAGTTTATTTGAAAAAAAAAAATTTTTGTTAGAATAGATGTTATTTTCATTGACATTTTTATTAATAAACATGGATTTTTGAAGAAATCTAGTTTACTAAATTTTAAACACTTTTTAAAGATACGTTGGGCTTCAACTTCTGAAGACAGACATTTAAATGTTAAAGCATTCTGATGAACTTTATATAATCTTCAAAAATATTTTAAATTTTAGTAAATAGAACCTATTCATAAGGTTGTTTTGAATTTATTTTAATGCTATAAGAGTTTTATTTGCTACAATAATAATTTATATCAAAATTTTAATACTAAATATTACATTTATTTTTTAGGTACTTATTGTCAGCAAAGAGAAGTAGAAGCAATAAGTGAAGGTGTAGATGAAGATGAAGGTAATGTCATAAATATATACAGTTATGAATAGCATTCACTATAGTTCTGTGAGGTGTGTGTCACAACTGGAATTATCTCCTGTTTTTCAAAATACTGAAAAAATAAGAGTTAGTTCTGTTAGCTACCATTAGGGTTTCCTTTCTAGGATTTCTGAAATGCAAAGATCCAGGTTTTTTATTTGATCTAAATTTACTTCCCTGGAATTGTAATATGTTCCTGGGAAATTCCAAGAAAAATGAAATTGCAATAATTTCTTCTGGTCAAAAGTGAAAGTATTAAATCTTTTAAATTATTAATAATTTTTAATGTATTTTATATTTATGTTGTTTACATATTTTAAATATATATTTATTAGAGAAACTATACAAAGTACAGTCGACCCCCGTATAAGATCATTGATTATTCCGTTTTATATGAATTCCATGTTGTACAAGTCACTTAAATTTTACAAATACGTGAGCCGTTCACAGCCGGTACACGTATTTGTAAAATCTAAGTGACTCGTACAACATGGAATTCATATAAAACGGAATAATCAATGATCTTATACGGGGGTCGACTGTAATATGTAAAAACTATACTACATTATACTACTGTACTACTACAACAATTTTTATAATTTTGACTCACTTCTGCTTTGTGGAGTTATTGTGTACTGCATTCTCTTTAAGCTTAAATAATTGTTTAATGGTTACTTATATTAAAAAATATCTTTAAGGTTGCAATAGTTTATTGAATTTTATTTGCATTAAAGGCCCTTGGTGATCTAGTGATATTGAAGCTGTATAAACCAGGATAGGATCTTAGTTGTGGCTGGTTCTGACTGTCATGGTGTACACAGTTCTGAGGTTCTCCAGCCACTTTTACAGTTGACATATGGAAGGTGAAATTTGGTGTAAAATTGACATCACATGAAACAGCTATTCCATTCACTTCTCTGACTGGGCTATAAATAGGAAAGCTTTATTTGATGTTCTTTCATGGCATGCTTTAGGAAACTTCTTTATCTTTACTTTTATCACCATGCTTCAGGTTTATTATGCCAGAAATGTTATCAAATTTTATATAGTCAAACTCCATTATTACATTATCAGTTTATGCAAAGTCTGTGTTAATACAAAGTAGATTTGAGTTCCATGAGTGAGAATGGGCATTTTAATGTTAATAAGTCTAGTTAATACAAGATATCAGTTAGTATGTAATATGAAGTATGTTGTTGTACTATGAATCAAATAACAATTACACTATGTCTAATACAAAGCACACTGCTTTCAACTTCCCAAAAGTCAAACAAACCAAATAGCAATACACAACTCAAATCATTTATTTTAATGATTAACCGCAAGCATGTTTTTAAACTTTAAGATTGTCACAATGCTTATGATTTCAATATTATTATCATCATTGATAAGGAAGATATACATTAAACCAATGACATTCACTCTAACTTGAAAAATTTCACTCTTTCTTATAGTTGTTGCATTTTATGCTGTGACAATGCTGAACAATTAGATGTCAGTTGACATGCACATTGGAAAGCAGAAGTTAATAAAAATTGGAGACTTTCAATTAAAAATCTGTAGTTTTACAAAACAGTTCTTATTTTTAATTGCTTTAATAATGGAAATAACAAAACTATATTTAATATTGTAATTACAAATTAATTACAATATTAAATATTGCAATTAATTTGTAATTTTAAAATTAAGAAATGTTTCCATTGAAATCCAAGCAGATAAGTTATTTTTAAATCTGTAAAGTTGTGTCTATCTAGCTCCTGGATTCAATTTGGTGGTTAGGTCAGCTTGTTATATCTAGTAGCTTTAATCAGCATTCTACCAACTCAAACTAATGTTAAAAAATGAGTATTAATTCTTTCTTCAAGCTATTGTATCTCAACAAAATGTCTGGTTTGAGCACCTGATAAGTTTGGTTTTATTTATTTTTAAATATATCCAAACAAGATGAAATATAGTGAAATAACTGGGATAAAATTTGGTTTTTGCCATTCAGTGATATAACTGTTAATTTTTTTTAAAGTTCACTTAATACAAATCTCATTAATACAAAGTGCCAATTTTTAAATACCTTCAATTTTGTGTTAACAAGGTTTGACTGTGAGGCTAAAAATAATGAAATTTAAATCTTCTGTGTAATTTTATCTTAATAGTTATTAAAGTAACACTTTGGTGATTTATTCTTAATACAAAGTATGTTGCAATTTTTTTGCCTTCAACTAAAAGTTACTATTTTGAACTCTGCTGTTTCTTAATAAACAAAGTTATTTCTATTTTTAAGTTTAAACATATTTACTAAATAAGTTCCTGCATCTTTCTCATTATTCTGGAGATAGTTTTCTTAGATTTCTATGATTATTTGCTAAACTTTGATTCTTTATTAATTTTTAAATATTTAATGGCATTTTATTGTCATGTGATTTTCTTCAAATATTGGCATATAAAATGCTATAAATTTCATACATTTCTTAAGGATTCTCACTATTTTTTTGTAACTATATTAATTTTCTATTTCAGAATAAGCTTTATCAATTCACAAATTGAAAAACTTTTATCTTTTGTAAACTATTAATATTTCTGTATATCAAATATCCCAAAGACAAATATATATAGATACATAACCAGATGATTGTCTTAAATAATCAGGCTGTAAATAATATGTTAATTTAAATAACCTGGAAGCAAAGGCTTGCTCAGAGTCTGGATGGCACAACTGGCAAACACATTGCATGACAAGTGGAGGTCGTAGTTCAAGTTCCCACCCCGAGCCAGTTCTTTTCTTCCAGATGATTCTAAATTATTTAATAAATTATTAAAATTATAATTATTAATTTAGATATGAGATGGCATTTAATGTCTATCTCTAGTAGGAAATTACTTAGTATTAATTATTAAAATAGCGGATTTATATCCCGATTATTTAAGGCAATTGTTTGGTTATGTATCTATTAATATATCTTTAACAAAGTTTAGTAAAAATGAAAATTTCATTATTTGTTATTCTTTTTATATTTTTTACTAAAATTGAGATATTTTTTCTCTTTTATACTGTAAAATATTTTCTGCTATATCAATACATGTATAGAAACATCACCAAACAATTGCCTTAAATAATAATAAATTTTTGGTTGTTTGGTTGGTATTTACATTTTAATTTGATATTGAAATACAGGTAGCCCTCGGTTTACACTGCAGTTCCATTCCTACAAAAGCTGATGCAAATCGAATCACCATAAAACGAACCCATATTTACAGTGAGATATAGGGTTAGGTTCTACATAAGTGAAAAATAAGCAAATAATTTTGTTTATTAATACAATATAATACAAAATATATAATATTTTATGATAAAATGTATTTTATCATAAAATAAAGTGAATTGTTTTTATTAAAAAATTTTAGTTTCGGATCTCTTACATTTTTTGGAAAAAAGTATCCATCTTTAATTGTTTACATTTTTATTAATATAATAAATATAAGTACGACTCTTTTACAAAAAAAATTTTTGTTTCAGTCATTTCTTTTGTTGTTCTCACCATCAGCAGTTCATAAAAAGTTTTATGAACTGCTGATGGTGCGAACGACAGTAGTTTTTATAGTTTTATAGTTAGACAGTAGTTTTTATAGTTGAAAGGATACGTTAACCCGACAAAGAGCTACAGATGAACGGAGACACTGATTGGTCGACCACTGGTTGCCGTAGTGCATGTATAAGGTCAGTTTGAGCAGGAAAATTGAAGGTGGCTAAGGAGAGATAGATATTTTCTGCCTAATAAAAAAGTATCGTCTGGCCAACAAGAAGTAGATTTGTCTCACTAGGGATAGTTTGTGATCGCTGAAAGTGCTACTGCGTCGTAAGGTGTTTTCCTGAACGAATTGATACGGGATACATTCATTGGCGCTATTTATTCGGATGCCATTTATTGGACAATTAAGTTTGATAACTTGACTCGTGGGTACCTAAACGTTTAGTGTTTTAATATTAATTTAATGCAAATGTATACATATCCAATAATATTAAACAGAAAAACTAAATATATTCAATAAAAATCTTTGTTTTAACGAATGTAGAATGTTGCGGCTCGGTAAATACGTCAACACTGAAATGAAAATCAGTTTGGCATAGGGAAAATCAGGGAATTACATCGCAAAATGGTAAATTGCATAGCGGCGTTATTGTGAATTGGCATAAATTGAGCCGGCGTAAACCGAGGGCTACCTGTAAATAAAATGTAAAAGATTGTAAAAATTCTGATAAACATAAGTTTTTTTCTTATTAATAAATTTACTTTTAAACATTTTAATTTTTATAGGTTGCTGCTGTTGTGAATCAGGCCATCTTCCTCATATGTTGTCCATTAATGCAGCTTTTAATCAAAGATGGCTGGCATGGGAAGTAACAGCTACAAAATATGTTTTAGAAGGTTATAGTATATCAGATAACAGTGCTGTATCAATGCTGCAAGTTTTTGATTTGAGAAAAGCTCTTATAACTTATTATGTGAAAGTAAGAATTTTTAATTTAAAAAATGATTTCATATTGAACATCATCATTCATTAAAATCATTAACCAGTATATTTTAAAGTTTGTATTATCTTGTAATAATTCGTTCATGACCATAGTTAAACAGATTTACTGTAGTTCAAAGCATTAACAATATTATTAACACTAAGTATTTCATTATCATAGTTAATGCTAAAACCTTCATTTCTTAATGAAATTTTGACATCATTATACTGAATATTGTTGTATTTTATTTATTTTAACATATCTTCTAGCAATTTACTAATTTTATTGCTAGAGTGTGGAGTAACTATTGTATTCAATTAATCAGTAAATCTGAAAAAAATTTATATAAGAGGAGGACTATGAAATCTAGATTTTTAATATTCAGTATTGTATGATGATCAATGTTTTAAATAAAAGTATATTTATTTATATAATTTTGATGATGTTTAATTTGATTTTATATTTAATATAAGAAGAGAAATTATAAAGTTAATATTTTTTTAGAAGTGTTAGTTAAAAACTATGAATGTTTAGATTTTGCTTGATATTGTGATACAGTATAGTCTTGTATAAGCAGGGTTACATATTAGCAGGTACCTCAAAAAGTAAAAATTTTACATAAATTTGTGTTCTGTTCCAAATATCCCAGATGATTCTCTAGACATTTAAACAATCATTTACAGTTAACAGAAAAATGTTAAAATATGTTAAAAGGTTTTACTAAATGAGTAACATTTTTGTTTAATGTTTTTGAATATACAAAGCAATATTTTATTAAATAATTAAATTTTATTCAAGTATTCTACATTAGAAAAATACACGCAAGCTAGGTATTTACCAGAGTGAATAGCATTCATTAGTTCTGTGAGTGTGGAATGTCAGAAGCTTGAAAACTGTACATCTCAATGTACATTTTCTAACTTAAGAGTTAGAAAATTATACTTCTCTAAGAGTTAACTTAACCATTTGTATCTATGAAAGCATGAATCTATATATATATAAGGTATACATAAAACAAGACTCTACTGTATTGTATTAATTTTTCTTTCTGTTATTTGAATAAATGTATACTTAATGCTTATTTAAAATTATTTTTTAGAGTATAGTCTATTACACTTTGACATCATCACGGTTAGAAGAATGGTTAAATTCTGACTCTATACAAGAAGCATTAAAACCAACACTTGACAAAAACTATGCAGATTTAGATCCAGTATTTAACATGAATGTTGATGAAGATTATGATTTTCATGCATCTGGAGTATCTCGAAATAGCTTTTGCAATGTTTATCTTGATTGGATACAATATTGTTCATCTCGAAGGGAAAAGGCAAGTTTGAATTCAACAAAATAATTTCTATAGATTAAAAACCATCTTGGTTTATGAAATAGTAACCCAATGATGAAAGTTTGAAAAAATTCAGTTATTTTAGTTGTAATAAAATAGTATATTCAATCTTTATATATAACATTTATTTCAAACAATATGGTAAATTTTAATTGTTTTTAACAACATATTTATTGTACTATAATCTGGATGTTAAAACAGAAAAAAAGGTAACAGAAATGAAAAATTTCATCTAATTTATTAACACATTGACAAGATAAGTTATAATTGGTAATATTTTTCCAAGTATTACCTACAAATAGTCTCATAAAACATTGTCTTATCTTTCACGTCAGGGAAAGCATAGCAAATAGATATAAATAATAGTCAACATTTGAAATAAGACTGAAAAATAAGTAATGGTGCCAGAAAACTGAGTATTTATATTTATCCATTGAAAAATAATACAAAATATTTGAAACAGCATCTTTTTACTTACTCAGCTTAATTAGGTTCATACAATCTCCAAATAATGAAATTCATCTTCATTCCTAATTCTGTTTTCTGTCTCTGGAATTTTATCTCTAATCAAACTTTCAATGGTTCTTTTTTCTCAAGTTTAAACTTTTAATGGTTGAAACTATTTTTTTTTTATGGAAAGGAATTTATACACTACATATAACTATTTCCAAAATTTGTAATGCAATTAATGGTTTTTCTCAGTATTAAATAATAAGAAAGCATTTGATATGATCAATCTGTTCCAGACATTTCGTTATTATAATCTCTAATTATGTTTAGCTTTATCTAAATTGATCAGATTATCTTAGTTATCCTTTTCAAAAAAATTTTCTTTTTTATATTAGATAACATGTTTAGGTATTTTGACAAAAATAAACTCTTATTTTGAGTTTGGCTGATGAATAATTGTTATAAATTGACTATGGAGTACAATAATGGTATATAAATGAGAATGACATTAGAAACATTTTACCCAGTCATGTCAAGATTGCTGATACAATACATCATTATTAGTTAATATAAGTCGAAAGGCCGGATGCAGGCATTGGGGCATACTAAATTACAAATAAAAATAATAATATACTGAATATTATACTGTGAAAATATAAAATAATTTATATTGTTCATTTAAATTAATTTAAATAATAGCTAGGGGCACCCCCAGTTGCAGTTTTTGGCATCCGGCTAACAGGCTGAAAATGCTCATTTTTTCAGCTTTATATAGTATATGTATATATATATATTTGTACATACTAGAAATTCACTTGTCAAGCATGATGGAATAGAATATTTTATATGAGAAAGTAGAGATTGAAGAATTGAGAAAAGCTTCCAGTCTAGCTTTACATTGTGATCAGTGTTGCCGCAATGAAATTTCAAAACGTACTGAAGCGCCTTCAAAAATGTACTATTTTCCTTCAAAATGTACTAGTTCTATGAATACTTTGTTTACGTGCCTATATATAGGCACGTAATTTATATATATATACATACAGTAGAGCCTCAATTATCCGACCTAATTGGGGACTGGGGTTGGTCGGATAATTGAAAGGGCGGATAACCGAAAAGTATGAAAAAATCCATTATTAGGGTAGTATATTATTATATCCCATGTAATTAGTATATTAGTATATCGCTATTAACCTACTTTGCGTTGAATTTTCATTGATGTTAAGTCTAACAAAAAATTTTTTAATAATAATCGTCGCTATNAATTTATCAGTTTATCATTTTTTAAAATTTTTATAAATTTATTTTAAAATATAAAATCTTGACATCAATTTTGATCTTTGTCTTAGAAGGTTGACAGTGAGAGAGACTCAAGTCTTGTTTCATTATGTTTTTGTTTGAGTCTTCTAGCAAGACGTGTATTGGGAACAGCTTCTCATAATTCTGTTTCAAGGTAAGTTTATTTTTGTAGTAAATCTAAAATAATTTAATATCTACAAAATATTTTTACAATCTAAAGTTATGAAAGAAAATGCTTGCTACATGTATCAGGCATATAATAGTCTGTATGTTCAAATATATGTATGTATGATTGGAATAGACTATATCATTAAATTATCAATCTTTAAAAATTATACATATCAAATTTTTTCATTGAAAAAAATTAAATTTGTAATTTTTATTTTGATTATAATGATAAAATAGTCTTTAAAAATTTAATTTAATTTTTTAGTGTTGATTTCTTATTGCATGGATTGCATGCCCTCTTCAAAGGTGATTTTCGAATAACTTCCGTACGAGATGAATGGGTTTTTCAAGATATGGAATTGTTACGCAAAGTAGTTGCTCCTAGTGTAAGGATGGCATTAAAATTACATCAGGTAAAATAATTTTAGGTTTTTCGTTATAAGTGATAAATAATATGACGTCATGATAATTTTTTTTATTTACATTTTATGCCAAATTTAAAAGTTATTTAAAAATAACATATTTGAAAATTATATAAAATATCTTCATTTGCTTGGCCTTTATTTTTTTTCATATTCTCGTATAATATCTTATCACTGTCTTCAATTTAGTCTTTCGTAAAGAGAAGTTAAACACATTCCTTGACTGATCCTTTTTCCTNTTATGCCAAATTTAAAAGTTATTTAAAAATAACATATTTGAAAATACAATATAAAACTATATTTATTTTTATATAAATGAATTGTGTGTATTAAAAGCTATGGTGAATTACTGAATATGCAGACTGTGCATTTGCATGGGACCCTAATTTGATAAACTCTAAGTTATATCTATGATTTTGTAATTAATTTTTTTCTGAAATAAAACCTTAAATAAAAGTGTAAACCACTTTTGCTTTGCCTGTCTAATTCTGCCATTTCCTTATTTGTATTTTTTACCCATTGGTAATGGTGTGGCAATTTGTAGGAAAGGCAGTAGGCCTTTCCTACACATTGCCACAAGATATGAAGGAGTGCTTCATACATTTTTCTGTTTAGAAAGACCCAAAAGCTAACTGGTTTACATGGTACAACTACTGCTGGCATTTTGTCCCTTAAAACCACAATCTGCATGGATTTGCCTCATTTGAACAAATTTTTAACTTATTGACAATCTTGATTTGACAAGTCACAACACACAATATTTCAAATTTTTCACTTTTCATCACATCAGCAAACCAATTGCAGACAAAATGTAAATCACATTAGATCATTTTCTTACTATTCTCAAGATAAATGAATATCCTTGTGTATACTCACAAGGCAGAACAATGGAAAGTCATATTCCAGTGCATCATGTAAACATAGAGTCACTGACAAATCCAGACATATTCTTAGGTGTGATAAAATGTAGGTTAGGCATATTGCGTAAAGTATAAGCATACTGTGTAAAGTAACCTTATAAATGAGTTTACGCTTTGGTCCACCAGATCAATCACACTAATTCCATATCATTTTCATTGTCAGTGTCAACTTCATGGACATGGTCCCAAAAATCCTTAGTCCATCATTGATTAAAAGTTAAGTTAATATTTTAAATATTGATGGCAAATTATAAATTTAAATCTAGAGTGAAAACTTTGTAAGTCATAAAATTACTTTCTTGCCTATATGTCAAGTTTACTTCTCAAAATCTGAAAGTATACATTTTAATACTAAAAACTTATTAAAGCTGATGTTTTTTACTTTCATTGAAATGTTGCAATTTTACATTACAAGTTTTTCACTTTAGGCCATCAATATGTTTTTATAAATTGTTGAATTTAAAAAACATTTTGTTTTTAAATTAGATTTCAATACAGAAATAAATAATTTTTTACTAATGTGCAATCTAGTTTTTTTTTGTAAGTTTTGTTAAATTTTCCTAAAAAGCTTACCTCCAGTTTTTAAATCTGTTCAACAAATTTGCTGGAATTTTAGAAAGAAAGAAGAAAGATGACTTAGTTTAAAACTTACACAAAACACTAAGCTCAATATTATATCACTTGGAAGAATTTTTTTGAAATTTGCATTCTTAATTTAATATATGAACAAATAGAAAAATTGAATCCTTTTTTACATTCATCTGGAAGAATGAAAAATTTCAGTTAGTTAAAAAAAATTATGGTGACCTTCGTTTTTGTTCTCATTATAGTTTTGCACTTATTAAACAGGATATTCACTTCACTAATTATTTGGATGTATCTTTGCTTACTGAGTTAATTGATCTGCTATCTTGGATCCAAATTTATTCCAAAGCTTAAGGGAAACAATATCAAGCAGATATTTATAGAATTGAAAGCTTATATTAGGGATATCAAAATTAAAAAGACAAAATACAATTTCTTAACTTAGACTGCTTACAATACCTGCATATCTTATAATGACATTCCATTATACAGTAATACCCCAACTTATGCTACCCTGACTTACGCGAACCTGGAGTTATGCGATTTTCAAATCTCGTCGATTCGTCTTTTGTTTGAGCGCCACTCAACCCTTGATTACTCACTCTTCCCACACTATTGTTCAGCTTACATATTTGGATGTGTCACGCGGAATCCACACATAGCTACAATTTATTTTGTGTTATTTATTTCTGTGTTTGTTATATCTACGGAGACTTGAGAGACTCTACTATGTCATCCAAACGAAGTAGAACTAATTCTTCTGCATCAAACAAGAAAAGAAAAACTTTATCTTTGGAATGTAAAGTTAACATTGGGTATGTTCGTTTCGTAAAGTCGAACGAGTTAAGCGAGAATGAAGTCATCGTTATTCCTATTTCGTTAGACTTTTCGAACGATTCATTACTAACGCGTTTAACTTGTTTGACTTTACGAACGTACCCATTATTAAAGACTTTGATACAAAAATGAAAATTTGTGAATTGGCATAGAAGTTTGATCTACCGGAATCGACGGTCAGAACAATTATAAAAGGCAAAGAAAAAATTCTCAAAGTTGTGAAAAATGCTCAATCTTTAAATTCAAGCATCATTCGTAAATGTCACAGTATTATCTCTGAGATGGAAACAATGTTAAAATTATGGCGTAATAATCAAGTAAATGTGAAAAATTGTAAAATAATATAGGCCTAATTTGTTATACATATGTATTATCTAAGATTTTATTAAACATTTTTTTCTAAATTGTTTTCTTTAGTCTCCGGCCACAATTAAAAATTATTTGTATGTATTTATATGCGAAATTATACCCCAACTTATGTGAATTCGACTTACGCAGTTACTGCTTGGTCCCACTTATCGCGTAAGTTCGGGGTATTACTGTATAAAGTCTCTGTCATTTTAAACTGTATAGAAATTACAGAGCAACAGAAGACAAAGAAAACTTCTAATGCCTTGTTTGTCTTAATTTTTTAATCAAAAATTGAGAATGGAATATTTGAAAGGATATTCTGTTTTTATGCATAATATAAAATTGTTTTTAACATTCAACTAAATTTACAAGAATTATTGAACTTTAACCTTTCATAATAAATTAATAGTTAAAACTTTTTAATTTTTAAAGTAGACAATTACAATTTTATTTTTCAGGATCACTTTATGTCTGCTGATGAATATGAAGATCATGCAACCCTATATAATGTTATTGGAACCTATGAAAAAACACTTGTGATATCTCATGAAGCTGATCCAACATGGAGAAATGCAGTTTTATCCAGTGTTCCTTCTCTCTTAGCTCTTAGGTTAATAAATCTTTTTAGTTTATATACAGATAACTAATTTTCAGATTTCAACTGAATATAGTCAAATTCTTTTCCTTTATTTATTTATTTGTTTATTTTATTTTTGGTTCATTTTCAAATTATCATTTCAAATGTATCTTTATAGTGATGCCAATCAGTTTTGGATAATATTTATGTTACAGTCTCTCTTTTGTAATTTATCTCCTCAATTTCCTTGTTCTTGTAGATAGCAGGAAGGTCTCAGTATTAAAGTTAAAAAGGGTGATATTTTATAAAAGAGGTCTATATAAGTGTCATGTATACAGGGTGTATCAGAATGACATTTTAAAAATTTGGGGGATTGTAGAGGATGAAATTTTGAACGTTTTGATATAAGGAACCCATAGCCAGAAAGTTTCTACAGTGGTAGGAAGTGCTTGACCGCTCTTCACTTTGGTAGCTACCCTTCTATCCATTGACATCATGTTATTGTTCTTGACTTCTTCTTCTGAGGTATGTAAAGTCCCCTGTGTACGAAACACCTGTAGGAACAGTTCATGAGCTTACGGAGCACATCTTTATAGCATTTAATACCATCAGAGGGGAGCATGGCATCTTATAGAGAGTCAGACAAAACATGGTTCGTTGTTGCACATTATGTAACAAAGTTGGTGGTCGTCACATTGAACATTTACTCTAAAGTAGTGCAGCCACTGATTCGATGTACAGTTGATTGTACTCTACTATTTTGTCAATAAAACTTGTCATAAATACTGTATTCAGCTGTTTCATTCACCATATCGACTGAAAAGTGCAAAGTGCTGTAGAAACTTTATATCACATTTCCGGCTATGGGTTCCTGATATCAAAACATTCAAAATTTCATCCTCTACAATCCCCCAAATTTTTAAAACGTCATTCTGATACACCCTGTATAAATATAGGAGAACTAAATATACTCATATATATATATATATATGATAATTATATTGGTAACAACTATATATATATATATAGTTGTTACCAATATAATTTCTTGTATTTTAGTTTTAATATCCAAAAAATTTACTTTCCTTTCTATTAACTAAATAATATAATCTTATTCTTGCATTACTTTGACTAATCTGTGATAAATTTGAAATATATATCAAGTGTATTCCATTATATCAGCATATCTATAACTTACTAAACCAAATACAGTGGTGCCTCGAATAACGGACGCTGTGAATAACGAACTTTCTGTTTGACCGTTACGTGACTCGAGCAACGGACTGGCTGCGGACAACGGACTTTCCATTCGGCAGTTACGTGAGGCGACCAATGGACTTTCTACGAACAAGTGCAAATGATGTTTCCACTCTTTTGCTGTTGCCAATGACAATCTGCTATTTTTATAATATATTAGTATTATTAGAATATATTATCAGTATATCTGAAGTACAGAGCTCCCGTTGGGATTAGGCTTGCTCCCTTGTTTATTACGTACATCACCTCAGTGCAGGGTATTTACATTTATTCAAGTGTTGTGCAAATCATGGCTTCTAAAAAAACAGAAAGGTGATTTCAATTGAAACAAAGCAAGAAATCATCAGAAGGAGTGAAAGTTGACAAAAACTTCCTTGTCAAATGGGGAGAGGTTCAGGAGTTTACCAACACTCATTATCCAAACAGAGCTGAGGCCAACAGGATCAATGATCTCTACAATGACACCCTTGCCCGTCATTTCCGACAGGTATTGAAGAAGAGAGAGAAACAGACCATCTTGGACATGTTTTTCAAGAAGCCAGCTGCCAAAAAAACAAACGATGGAACAAGAGGAGTTGACCCTGCAAGCTCCGGTAGCCTCTCCTGAATCTGAATCCGATTAAAAAAAAATAAAAAAAAAGACCCGCTGCAATGTGTAAAAAGTCTGTATCTGTATGAATGTGTGAAGAAAGTGTTCCTCCCCTCCTCCTCACAACATCTGACTACCTGGCATAATTGGTGACTGCTCCATTTTCATTTTTTTGTTATAGTACAATACGATTATTTTATGCTGCGGAATGAATTATATGTTTTAACATGTATTTCTATGGAAAAATGTGTTTCATATAACGGACTTTTCACTTAACGGACGTGCACCTGGAACGGATTAAGTACGTTATACGAGGCACCACTGTAAATGGGCAATTAAATATTTAGTTTAATTTTAATAAAATTGTACTATATAATTGCTTTCTAATATATACAATATACTTTTCATACTTTTGGATTATGGAGGATGTCATGAAATTTAGCAGTAACTTGGTGTATTCTCCTGCAAGTGAATAGGAGCACCTTTTGTCTGTTTAAATACTTTCTCTTCAGAATTGAATTAGGAGTTAAATCGATTGAATGTTCATGATATACGAATTCAATAGCACTAAAAGTTTTTTATATGTTTTGTTTTTATATTCTATTAAAGCAAATATTTTGTCATTTAAGTTTGTGAAATTTTTTTTAAGTATTATAAACAATAGTGCAAATAAACTTTGGAATTAGTTTTTCTGTGCTTTCCTTCATACTTTATTATAGATAAAAATGAGTATCAGCACATATTGCTTTCTGTTTTAAAGAAAGATGTAAGCTTTATAGTTAACTTTACTGGATTAAATTGATTGCTTAAGCTTCTTTACTAATTGATACAAATTGGAAATCTTATCAACTTTTGTATTTCTGTTTTCTGATAAAATTTTCCTAGGATTTTCTCCATCCCAGAGATAGACAAATTTCTTTTTTCAACTGTTGTTGGCTGTATTAATCATCATTACTTGTGGATCTTAATGTATTCAAACAATCTGTAGGATGATATTGTTAAGATTCTGAAAAACAATAAATTCTGCTACTGGCTTACTTTTCCTTAAGATATAGTCTTGTTAAATTTCTGCTATTGAATTTTTATTGATACTGTCCCTTTGTGAAAAGTTGTTAGTTTTGTCACATATTTTTCTTTTCTTATTACTTATCAAAACACTTTTTTGTCTGGCAAAGTAACAGTTATTCTGTCTTTATCTTTCTAAGAGTTGATATATTTTTATTAATTATGTAACAGATTTTGTTCTGACTTTATACAGGGTTCCTACGCACTGGAAAGTCAGGGAAAATCAGGGAAAGTCAGGGATTTTCATTATTTTTTGAAAAAGTCAGGGAATTTGTCAAAAATTGTCAAAAAGTCAGGGAATTTGTCAAAAATTGTAAAAAAGTCAGGGAATTTGTCGAAAATTGTCAAAAAGTCAGGGAATTTGTCTCCTTAACTGCGTTGTTGATTTCGTTTGCTGAATATAGATAATCAATCACAGCCATCTGCAGGCGGCAAGAAGTAATGCTGCAATCTTTAAAACCCGAGATAACTCGGGCAAGTTCCATAGCGTTACANGAGTAATTACCCTATTTTGTATCAATTTAAATTATAAAAAAATTAAAATATCATCACATATAATTTTAACATCCTAATATTTCATTAAATTTTAGGTAAATCGGGAGTGTGTTCGAGGTTTATGGGCAGGACAGCAACAAGAACTGGTTTATCTTCGTAATCGTAATCCTGAAAGAGGAAGTATTCAAAATGCAAAACAGGCTTTACGAAATATAATCAATTCTTCATGTGATCAACCAATTGGATATCCCATATATGTATCTCCTTTAACTACATCTTATGCAGAAACAAGTGATCAATTATGCACTATCATTGGTGGTCCTATTAGTTTATCTATATTTAAAGGAGTAATATTACGATTATGGAACAGGTAAATAATTATAGATACTTTCTAAATATTCTCATTTCACAAAAAATAAAAAATTATTAGCACCTAGAAAATTATTTATTCATTTATTTAGAATTAAGCTAAAATAATATAATATGATCATAAACTCAAGTTAAAGATTTACAAGATCATAAAAGCAAGAAGAAAACTTAATGTACAAAAACACAATCACTTATATATTTAACTAGCAGATGAGCTCGGTGTTGCTCAGGCAAAATATAACAGCAGCAAAGATTAAGATTATTAGATTATTTCATACTTCTAACTCTTCTGTTATATTATATTATAGTATTTGATTTATATAACTACAAAGATTATCTTACATAAGTGTTTTTTACATCAGGTGACTAATCTAACACATTTTAAAAATTCAATTTAAAATGTGTACAGTAGAATTTTAAAAATGTATTATATTGGTACTTGGTGTGATAAACCTTTACATAAGGTAACCTTTGTACAGTAGAGCATCAATTATCCGACTCAATTGGAGACTCGGGTTGGTCGGATAACTGAAAAAATCGGATAACCGAAAAGAATGAAAAAAATACATTATTAGTAAAGTATATTAGTATATCCCATGTAATTAGTATATTAGTATATCGCTATTAACCTACTTTGTGTTGAATTTTCAACAATGTTAAGCATAACAAAATTTTTTTAAATAATAATCGTAGCTATTGTATTGTTAAAAATTATTTTAAAATTATTTTATTGCTCACAAAACAAACAACCACTCATAATTAGAAAATTAAGTTTTGTTTAAATACTGGCCTCCCTTTCATGGTCAAGCCAGTGTTGCCAGCTAAAACACGCAAAAATTTAACAAAAATAATATTAAAGTATCCAAGACATAGCCAAATATTGTAGCGCCACATCACTAGCAGACATTTGAAATTTGCCGACTAG